GGAGAAGCAAATGAGTTCTTTAACTGGATTTCCATGAAAATAAATACGAGCTGCCGACTGGGCTGGAGAAATGTAAGTCACTAACTTCTGTAGGATAAAGGAGGGGCAGTGCTGCGTGTCCCCGGGCTCGCGGTACCTCCGGCTCCGCTGCGTTTGCCTCTGCTCCGGGATGCTGATTTCAGGCTGGTGCAACAAAGAAATATTTACTGTTCCTGAATGCTTGCTCTGCACTGAAGCCTGGCTACCAATTACTCTGTATTAAATTATGTTTGGTCGTGCCTGTGATTATACAGTATCCAGGCAACCCTGGCCTAATCTCATTTAGCACATAACGTGGATTTACTCCACTGCCCCTCTCCGTTGCTGTTGGGAAAGTGAAAGCAGAGCAAGTGCCGTGCCTGCCCTGGGCGCCCGCAGGACGCACCACGTGTGTGTTTGAGTGCAGGGCAGGGCCCTGGGAACGGCGGGTCCCCCCGGAGCCCCCGTGTTCCCGCCCGCACTGTCACTGGTGGCTGGAAGAGCTCAGGCTCCGCTTCTTGCTGCGTGCTTGGAAAAACCAGCACGCCCGTTGCACTGATTCAGTGCAAAACCTTCCTACCTTCACAGGAAAAATTAGTTTGCCGTGTTGGTCGCTAGTGATATACTGCGGAGTACAGTTACTCCCCCCGACGATGAAGTCTGTCTCCACGCTGGCCAGACTGATTTCTCCTGCTATTCCCAGATGACACATGTGAGCAATCATGTGCCGAGAGGAGGAGAAAGCAGCATCTAGCCAAAAAGCCAGTTGATATCCCAGCGTGTTGCACGCATCAAGCACAAATTAAGAGATTGCTCAGTGCTTTTCTACATTAGTTGTTGATTCCCTTGTGGCGGCCTCCCAATTGTGCTTGAAGTGACTTCTACAAAGCGTGGACAGAAAGCAAGCCGAAAGCATACCCATCTAAATTAATATTAGTGCAATTGCTCTCAGAGCGCGCTGGGGGCCAGCGAGGAACAGCAGGTTAAAAAGAAAATTCAGCAAATACTTGCAGACCTGCTAAAGGGCAGGCGCAGGAATGGGACTAACAATGCCTAAAGAAAAACACCTCGAAAAGTACCTACATTAACCACACTTTGGGATGAGAACACCCCATCTTTAGAAACCACAGTATTATTTTCTAGTACAAAGGGTGATGGAGAGGTATAATTTATAGTAAATTATCATGCGGATAATGGATGTGGAGTTGGAGGGATGTGAGAGGTGAATCATGTTTTGCAGCATAGCTTTGGTAACCAGGCGCTGTGAAGAGTACTGGTGGAAAAGTACCCGTGCTATCGCTCAGCAGTTCATGTGCCGCCCTGGTTTATTTAAGAAAGGAGCAAGACCTGAGCAGCGGCCAAAGGTGTTTCACGCTTTACAAATTCAAAGCGAACCTAGCAAAGAGTAGTTTGGTGCAAAGCGTGGCTCTGAGACCACCTCATCTCGGCACCTGCGATCCGCGGCCACCGCCGGCAGTGGCCGGAGCCGGCTCCGCGGTTCGTGCTGCAGGATCGGGTGCTCACTGGGAAACCATTAATAATTTAATCTGTAATAATTAACAGGAGCATGTGCAGTTCCCTCACCATGACAAAGCAATTTATTAGAGTGATGTATTACATGATAATGTAGTAATGAGAAATGAGGGGACCTAGTTTTGTAAGACTGAGATCAATGTAGTTGTTTTTTTTTATAAATGAACGTTGTTTTACTAACCACAGAAGATCATTAAAATTGCTATGAAATATTTCAAGTGCTTTCAAAACTATTTGAATTACAGCTGCATTTTTCAGAATCCAAGTAGGGGTATGTGAATGTGCATCTATAAATACAGATATTGTTGCAATGTAAGAATTTCGCTAGCATTTGTAAATGTCTTGATAAGGAGGTGGGTTGGAGCGGGGAAAAAGGTCTGAATACGTTACTTGGACATCTCTCGACAGCAGTTTGACCTGCAGCCCAACGCTGGTTTTGCACTGGAGCCAGGCAGCGGCGCGTGGGAGAGCACCCTGAAGGAGGGTGGTGCTCGGCCGCGGCGCTCAGGCCCCGCGTGCCCCCTCGCTCCAGGCGAGGAAGAGCAGCGCTTCCGCAGGCATCTGCTGCCGCGTTGCACGTAGCCCGTGAAAACGAGCGGACGGCAATGCTGGAAGAACCAGGGGCTGCATCTTCTTTCCCCTTTCTGAAGCTATTTGGCTTTCCATTGGCAGCGAGAGGTTTTCTCCAGTTAGACTTCCTCTCTGCTCCACAGGGTCGTGACTTTCTAAAGAAAGATTGTTTCTGTTTCTACTAATTTTATTGGTGAGGAAAAGTTGATATCTGTGTTTCTGTGTGTGCAGTTTTCCCTTGCGCTTGCCTTGTGGTTAAGATGGAAAGAGCTGCACTCCTTGGGTGTCTCTGAGCCTATAAATAGAAGGAAACTGTCAGGCGGGGCTGCTCGAAGGCGACTGGAAATGAGAAATGGCAAAATTCGTCTTATCAGACCGAGCATCGCCTGCCTCCCACTCCCGTCATCACGCTCCTTCCTTCTGCAGTCTGCCCTCGCGGCGTTTTTCCTGCTGCGTGGGACTGCTTTGGTTAAGTCTCAGGCTGGAGAGGGTGGAGCGGCCGTGGCGGGCGGGGGGCAGAGGGTGGGCTGGCTCCGCGGTGCGGGCACCCGGCCACCGGCGGGGCCGGCTGCTCGCCCTCGTGGTGGGCGCTCTCGGGGGGGACACAGCGCGGTGGGTTCCAGCCGTGGGCTCTGAAATTCGAGCCTTCCTCCGGCGCAGTCCGTCTCCCACCGCATTGCTGTTTCCTGACAGAGCCGATTTCCCAGACGCATGTGATAAAATATTCAGAGCTTCCTGACACGGAGGGAAGTTACGGTTAAGAGGGAAATTCTGCAAAGCTCCCAAGTGACTTTGGGCAGGACTTCTGCACCTTTGAAAATTGTAACCCAAGTCAAGCAAATGCTCAGCACGTTGCTGGAGATGATCGTTCTGCTTCCTCTCCGGGAACATAGCATGCACCAGAGGTGAAACTTCCCGTCTGCATGGAAAATGGGGCTTAAATTGCTATCGCTGGTGAGTTAAGGCAGCGCTTCTCAGCTGATGGGCATCCCTCAGTGAGGAAGTCTTCTTTTGCAGGCCAAGGAACCACATGTAATGATGAGGAATGAAGAAGTGGTGCGAAGTGAGAGTTGGGGAAATGGGAAGCACTGTTTTTAAGACAGCCTTAGTTTGCACTGGGCTGGGATAAGCTAAGCATGCTCACAAAGGAGCACTGACTCTGTCTTGGCTATGAGATCAGTAACACAAGCTCACAGCAGTAACTTCTGGGGACATTCCAGCAATATCCTCAGACTCTTACCCTTGCTCTGGGCTAGCTTCGTGCAGAGAAAGAGGGAGAAAGAGAGTGAAGGGAAAGACACTTGTGTAAAAACTTAAGCTAAATTTCTGTGATGCCGCAGCCTGAAGTCATCAAGAATTTCCTGGTTGAAGAGGTCAAGAGAAAACCACTAAACCGAGTTGTGGAGATAGGGCTGCAAAATTTCCACGCGCAGATCTTACGTTGCGTAGCGCACACACGTGACTTAGCCAGAATTCATGGTATCAGATTAACAGATTTGATCTGTGCCTTTATCGAAGAGCAGCCTCGCGCCCAGGCACTATGGAGCTGCAGCTCACACCACGGCGTGCTCTTGGTGTGCGTGAGCAGGAGGTGTCAGAGGAGACCAAGCTGGCGCACGTGCTCCAAGGGTGCTGCTGGTGCTCCCTGACCACGAGTGGGCGTTGAGTCCAGGGCCAGGCTGGAGCGGGTCCAAAGCAAACCCCCAGAACGCACACTGGGTGGAGGTCAGGTCCTCAACACAAGCTATTTCACTTTGCTGATCTGATCTGCTCCTGCTGGGCTGCAACACCTGCTAATGTAAGAGCAGATGGAGGTGGCAGGAGGAGAAGCTGGCGTGTCGGGGTCCTGCAGGTTCCCGTGTCGAGCTGACGCGGAGTGTGGCGGAGCAGGGCGTGAGCGTGCGCACATGTGTCTGCACGTGCAGAGCCCTTGCCCGCGGTGGTAAAAGCGAGGACTCCCCTTTGCAGCCTGTTTTGGCTGGCCTGGGGCGGGTCTGACCTCTGGTGAAGGCGAGCGGTGCGATGGGTGAGAGGAATGGGAGCTGGAACATATTAGGTCACTCATTCACTTGGAGAGCAGCATGTATCAGAGGTCCAACAATTTGTTTTGAGAAGGGTTTTAAGCATTAATGATTCAAGATGTTTTCCTGGGAGTGGTTTGCAACATGAGACTCGGTGGCTAGAGCAGTGTTGGGGTTTTATGGGATTAGTCAATTCAGCAAGGCTGGAATTTCACTAGTAACACAATAGTTAAATTTGTACTTTTCCACATGGCTGAGCCTTCAAGGAGCTCACCAGGAGTTTAAAAAATGTAAACAGAATTGTAAGCATTGTGCCAAATGCGAAGCAGGAAGGGGGTTTCCATTCTGATTATTTCTATCACCTACTTTTCTTTTTTTTTGCAGAGTGGCGAATAATCACAAGCAGAACCTGATGACTGTGGCTAATCTGGGTGTGGTGTTTGGGCCAACGCTGCTCCGGCCTCAGGAAGAAACAGTTGCAGCCATTATGGACATCAAGTTTCAGAACATTGTGGTTGAAATTTTAATAGAAAACCATGAGAAGGTAATGCCTTCACTTGTTTCCTTTAACACGATTGATTTATTAAAATGAATTTGCCTCCCTTTACAAGCTGGGACCCACAGCCTGGTGTGAGGTCCTTTCTGCCCGTGGCTAGCAGGCTTGGCGGTGACCTGGCCACCTGGCCCAAAGGTCCCGGGGCCTCTCCAGATAACTGATTGTTTTGTTTCAAACTGAAATTTCATGTGGGAGATTCGTTCTTCGGAGTGAATACGGTTCTGCTCCCCACGTTCGGATCACGTCTTTGATTGCTGGCCCATCAGGGAGTTCCCCCCAGCGTGGCAACCAGAAACCGGTAGCTTCTGTTCATTTTTACCAGTGACGGAGAAGGCTCAGGAAACGCGATGGAGGCTCCAAAACTGGATGTTCCTGTGCGTAAGCAAGGGCAATCGCATAATCAATGCTTCCAGTAATGAGGTTTTTTTATGGTCATCTTCGCGTGACTCTCTGTCTGTCTCTCTTCTACAGAAATCCCCCGCTTTTTTCCCCTTTTGTGTTATTTAATAGGAATTTGTCACTCGTTTCGAGAGAGAGAGATGTTACAAAACACCAGTCTGGGAGATGAAGGCCTAGGCGCGTTTCCTGCTTTCTGACTAAACTCATATTTATTCAAATACTGGCTTTCTCCTAGATTGTGATGTGTTTTTATTTGTCTGTTATAAAGCTATTCTCATCTGTTGCTGCTTTGGTGAGCAGAGCCCGGCCCATCGGTGGCCCGTCTCGGAGCAAGCAGAGCTAGCTTTCTGCACCTCATCAGGGTGCTTGGGGCGAATCTGTGAAGACTGTAAAATGGCTGTCCATTAAAGGCTATTTAATAGTACTGCAAACTACAGCTATAGGAAAAAAACCCTTTTTTTCTGAATTCAAACAGCTGTTTGTTTGCTGTCTTTGGTTTGGTTTGGTTGGAAGGAAATGCTAATTTGGGTGTTCAGGCTATGAAGTAGAGGAACAGAGCTGGTCTTGCCCCATCTTAGGGGCTGGTGTTACGCTTGCAGGACGGCATCGCAGCGCCGCACGGCATTTCGCTGGTGAGATGTTTTGAACATAGAGTATTGCTTGCAGGTTGCACACCGTATGCCTCAGGGTGTGTGTAGTGCAGTAAGGGTGCGTTTGGTTACCAGGGGGTAATGGAGCGCATAGTGAGAAATGCAGCGTTTCCAAAACAGACTGGTAAATTAGAATGAATTGCAGTATTTCCTTGCTAAGTATCTCGGGATTCTCTTGAAAAGAAAGCGGGGTGGGCTGAGGAGCTCGAGGACGCAGTGCCTGGTGCTCGGTCCTGCGAGGTATCCCACGTGCTGGGCTTACGCTGAAAACGTTTTGGCCCACAATTTCATGCTTTTGTGCTCCTGGGCAAGGCTGTGGGGCTGCAGGAGAGCTGCCTGCCTCCAGCTTTGCATGGAGGAAGAGCAAGACAAATTTTGTCCCAGCTCGTTGGCAGGCCCCTGCTTTGGATGGCAACGTGAAAAGGACTTGCCCTGGCATTTGTTTTCATGCACAACCAGGAAGGTTGAGGGATGCAGCCCCCCTGTGTGGTTGTGGCGCGGACGGCTCAGGACAGCTAGCTTGCCTTGGTGGCACGTTGTTTAGAAAGCCACCAACAGCGATTCATTCCTGGAGGCCTGAGCGGATGGGTACATGCTGTCTGGGTGGCCCAGCTGGGTGCTTGCATCCCCCTTGCTAAGGCAGGGGACCGTCCCCTCGGGCAGGAGGGGGAGCTGGGGGCGCTTGGGCAGATGCGGCGTTTCCTCAAACACAAGAACCAGCGAGGAGGGGATGGGAAAGCCACGTCCATTGTTTGGATATTCTCCCAGAAATTGCTTCCACGGGCGCGTAAGCACCATGGCATTTGTTTAGCAGAGAGGAGCTATTTTCTTCTTTTCTACGCGGAATTTAATGGAAATGATTCCTTAATTACAGGCCGCTGGGCTGAGGGTCGTGTGCGAACAGCAGTCAAAACCTGCAGTCCTGGGCGAAGCTCAGTGCGGCCCCCAGCCCGGCACGAAAACGTCGCGTTGGTCACGGATGGTCGTCTCCGTCTGTCTTCAATGTTCCTGTGCGGTCGTGAGCTCTTTGGCTGTGCCCCCTGCGTCACAAGCAGCGTGGGGGTGCTGTGAGTGTGCTTCATCTTCCTTTTCCCCTCCCTGTGCGGCCCCTTGAGGGAGCAGGGCTTTAGACACCGATTTTTATTCCGTCTGCGTTAAGCCTCGTGCTGTGCCAACCAAGTGCTCCGTCAGCGGGCGTCTCCGAAGGGATCGATGGCGGGTTTCCGAAAGGATCGCAGCTGGGTGGGCTGCAGCACTCGGCTCTGCCTACCAGTAAAATTACTTCTAATACCCTGCCGTTCCTGGGTGCCCGGGTGATTGCCGCCTCCTCACAGGTCGTTCGTGGCCCAGCAGAGAGGTGAAGGCTGCAAGCTGGCTATGTCCGTTCCTCGTCGCTTTAATTCTGCTGGTCGGCGTGCCGGCCGCGCGCCTGCTCCTCGCGCTTAGCGCGGGGAACGCCGAAAGCCCAGGAGGCGGGGAGGCTGCAAACGTTAACCGCTGGCGAGAAAAGCCTCCCTGGAAATCAGCGTCAGCGCTAGCTCGTCTCCGTCTTTGGAACGGTTGCGTTTCAGGGTGTTTCTTAATTCGACCTGATTTGGCCTCGTCGATGTTTCGCCCAGCAGTTAACGCGGGTGATTAGCGACGTGCAAGTAGACTGTGCCTGCGCTGCCGCCGCGGTGTGTTGTTTTACCCCGGTGACTCACAGCCGCGGTTTGTGATTAAGTACGTTCGCGGGGAAGACGTAATTGATTTGGACGGTTTCTGGCAATCAGCAGATGTCTGGTAGGATACGTTCTGTTTCCCGCAGGTAAGTGGGCTGCCTCCCCTGCTAAACGCCGTTGCTGTCGTCGGGCAACCCGAAAGGGAAGGTTGGTGACGGCGTCGCTTGGCCTGGTTTGCGCGGCAGCCTGGCTAGGCCTGGGGGACCGCCGGGCCGAGGAGGGCGGCGCGGGACGGGCTGCGGGTAGTCCGGCGGCTCTGCCGCCTG